CAACTGACTGACGCGCAACGTGTCGCGGGTTCGAACGCACGGAACAACTCTTTGTGTGATCCACAAATTGTTGTTCCGGGTCTGGGTGTCATGTGTAAGTGAACTTGTATGTTTGTAAATGCACCTACGAAACATGAGAAAAGCCTAGTGTGGGGAAACGTTAAAAAAACTAATATTAATAGAGGAGAAATAAAAAAGAATAATTTCCACTTCCCTCGGTGAATTTTGGTGCAGGAGATAAAATGACTTAAGCCTAAAGACACATAAGAGACTGTACAACTGGGAGAAGTCCAGTCGTCAAACGCCACGGAAAGGAGAATGCCTAAAAATGTATGAAATAAAAAGTCACTGTTTATTTCGAACAATATATTCACTATATTACATAGGCTCGCCCCTTATTACATGGGACTCATAACATAAATAGTGAAAAGTGGGTGTACATTGTACAGTGGCATTAAGTGCCGTAATGTGCACCTCTGCCTATCCCTGCGAGGATAAAAATCGTGATTCATGAGACAAATTTTAAGGACCGATTTTTCAATAAACACCTCTGCCTTTTCCTTCGGGGATAAAAGGCGTGATGTCATGTATATTACATAGTATTTATGTCTGACCTCAAGCCTTAGATTTTCAGTGATACCTGACTCTGTATAGGCTTTACAAAACCTTTTCAGGCATTCTGTTTGTAGTCTGACCTGAAATGCTGTTATTTATTTAGTAAAAGCCTTTCAGGCTCGCATTTCCGGTTCCGTTTTTATGGCAGTGTTGCTGAAGCGATGCTAGTTGTATGATTTTATTGATTAGTCGCAGATTTGATATTGTCGTGGTGGCTCGGAGGTTTAAAATGACAAATATAACATGCTTCTCATACATGATGGTGAGGTTTCGAAACCTACCAACGGCAAGTACCAATGTGACATTTTCAGAGTTATATGTACTTTCCAAGATTATTTAGACATCGTGAGGAAACCTGGGCTTTTAATTTCTAATTATAAGTTTGAAATCACCAACCCGCATTGAGCAAGCGTGGTGATTGATGCTCAAACCATCTCCGTGTGAGAAGAGACGTTTGCTCAGCAGTGGGCATTTATAGGCTGTTGATGATGATGATGACCAAAGGCCTCTCCTCACACGGAGAAGGTTTGAGCATTAATCACCACGCTAGCTCAATGTGGGTTGGCGATTACAAACTTATAATTACTTAGAAATTATAAGTCCAGGTTTCCTCACGATGTTTTCCTTCACCATTTTATGTCAGTGGCGTCTAAATAATCTTAGAAAGTACATATAACTTGGAAAATCACATCGGTATTTGCCGTTTGGTTTCGAACCCGCACTCCGAACCACTAAGACATACGCAACAAAACGGTCACCCATCCACAGTTCTGCCTAACAAACCGACGCTTGACCTACTAATTAACTACCAACCTACCTACAAACATAATATTCGCACTGAAAACTGAAACAACTCCATGAAACGCCTGTAAGCGAGCGTCATAAATCAATAAACAGGGTGGTTACACTATAATCTCATGTCACGACATGTTACAGTTAAAAAACCACACCCTGTAGCAGGAATGTTTAATTTTCTAGCACCATGCTATTCTATTGTGACGGACACCATCGCTAGTATTCTCGTGGGTGTATTTAAACTCAACTAAAGGATATTTTTGTTTAATTTGAACTGCGTTTAAAGAAACCTACTTTAACGCCATCTTTATGAACATAACATAACATCACGCCTTTTATATTTAGGCAGAGGTGCACATTACGGCACTTAATGCCACTGTACAATGTAACACCCACTTTTCACTATTTATGTTATGAGTCCCATGTAATAGGGGGTGAGCCTATTGCCATATACCGGGCACAATTCCAGACTCCGTGCTACTACTGAGAATTTTCAAAAACCCAGTAATACTTTTCCGACCCGGAAATCGAACCCGAGACCCCTTGCCCGGCAATCGCACTTGCGACCACTCGGCCAACGAGGCAGTCTCTCCTCTTTCTGAAATCCTCTTTTTGAAGTCGATTAATAAACTCATTGAGTACCGTCATTATAGACACAATTAAACTGTCAAACACCAAGCGGTCACCGGTGACCGCGACCTATTGTTCTTTAATTGTGTCTATAAAACCGGTACTCGACGAGTTAAAGAACAATAGGTTGCGGTCACCGGTGTCCTCGTGATGTTTGACAGTTTAATAAAGATAACCAGTACCTAATAATCCAGCAGTGAACTTTTGATGATTCTGAATTCTATTTTGCTACGGCGTAGCTGACTACGGCGTAGTAGCTACGGCGTAGTCGATGACGTCATTTTCCATTTTGAGATGACTTTAAATATATATGTATGTGTGTGTTTACATTATATTGACAAGTATTGGTCCTTGGGAAATGTGCAAGCAAAAATATACTCTATTTTTGTTAGTGTAGAGAGCGTAATAGCGTAGTTAGTTGATGTTTGGTTTAAACTAGCGGCCTGCTGTTCAAACGGGTGTTATTCCCTTTACGTGCCGATGTATTCATCACAAATCAACAGCCTATAAGTGCCCACTGCTGACCAAACGTATCTTCTCACACGGAGTAGGCTTGAGCATTAATCACCACGCTTGCTCAATGCAGGTTGGCGATTTCAAACTTATGATTAGAAATTCTATACTTAGGTTTCCTTCACCGTTTGTCAGTGGTGTTTAGATAATCTTAGAAAGTACATATAACTCGGAAAAAGTCACATTGGTACTTGCCGTTGGTAAGATTCGAAGCTGCGTCCTAATGCATGAGAAGCGGGCGTCTTTACCCTTAAGTTTGCTCACGCACGCACGGCTTCCTTAGCCAATAGTCTTTAGTGAACTGTCAGCACTACTGTCGATCGAGTTTTGATTTTTAAAAACGAACAAACGATTTTGACTTTCAAATTCTAATTAAGTTAGTAAGTAATTAAGTGTGGGACAGCAATGCTTCAGCACGAATGGGCCGGCTCAACCGGAGTGATACCACGGCTGAGTAGAAAATCATAGTGAAACAACACTTGCGTTGTGTTTTGTCATGTGGGGAGGTTACCGGAGACCCGCTTCCCGAATCTCCCCAATTCCCTGAATTCCCAACAATCTTCTAGGCCGGCAACGCACTTTAACACCTCTAGTGGGTGTCCATGGGTGACGCCGATTGCTTACCATCAGGTGATCCATCTGCTCGTTTACCGGCTTATCCTTTACTAGCCACCGAAAATACGTGACTAACTACTTACCTACGATTATCAAAAAAGCCACAATTCCGTCAAATTAATTTATATTTATTTAAAATTATCTTTGAATCGTTCGTATTAACACAAAACCTCTATTATAGAAATCTGTATACAGAGTGTATCTAAACGGAATGCTCCCGAATAACGCTGACAGGTGATGGTCAAAAACAAGTCTTATGTTCATTAAACTAAGGAATTAAATGTTTCTTTTATGTAACAACAGTTGTAATCGACTGTTCAAGGATGATTTTGTATGAATAACATGGAAACAAATACGATTAATATCGTTAAAACAATACTAAAAGTTTTAATAATTAATAAGTAATTGTATGAATAATGTAATTAATAATTCATTATATTACTATTACTAAAAGAAAATACATACAACTTAAAATATAAATAATTATGAACTAAAATATTTATCAAAAAATATTTTCCTCATCGCTATCGTGAGGTAGGGTGCCCAAAAGACTGGCAGCATTGCCACGTTGAATGGCAATGCTTAACCTTTGCCCAAGGTAGTAGCCAGCCCTTCGATCACCTGAAGTTTCAACCATCCTCCTTACAATATCTTTGTAAAGAAGATGTGCACTTGGGCCCCACAGCGCTAAAGTTTCAACCCCAAACGGTTCAAAAGCATAATTATTAAAACAATTAATTTTTTTGGTCAGCGTTTCGGCAGCGTTCCATTTATACCCTGTATTATAATATCTACTTACCCGAATTCGGCCTTCAATCGATTTAAAACGTTATGCCAAAAGCCATAAAGTTGGACATCGATTAGAGTTTGAGTGAATTAGGTTAAACTTGATGTGCTGCAGTTGTATTTAAGAAAAATCTACAAAAAAAACGATTCGTGGCACATTTTTAATGGCAACACTATACCTAGATAATATATGGGGACTTTTCTTTAAAATAAATATATTTTATTCACATATTTATGTTGAAATTTATATGGATTGAGTACCGTCATTATAGACACAATTAAAGAACAATAGGTTGCGGTCACCGGTGTCCTCGCGGTGTTTGACAGTTTAAATTATAAAAAAACATCGGATCTTCAAAAGGCCGAGAAACCTCTGGTATTTCGTGTGTCCATGGGCGGCGCCGATTGCTTACCATCAGATGATCCGTCTGCTCGTTACAAAGTCAAAGCATTTATTTCAATTAAACCACAATTTGAAACGTCAACAAATACAGAATAGAGTCTGTCAGTCAGTCCGTCAGTTAAGCTAGGTGCTCATTCCAAAATGTAGATTCGAATGGAGAAAATTTATGTCAATTCCATATAATTTGGTTTTCTACTCTACATGTAGACAAGGGCTAAATGGCATTTGGCTACAGCTGCCGTATATCTAAAAAGAGTTTAAAAAAAATTACATTAATCCCCGTATAATATCTAAATAACATAGTGTTATAATAATCAAAAAATACAACACAACAAATTTAATCAAAATAATAATTATAATTTTCCACAGAACTATCATAGTTTAGAAGTAAAAATTTAGACACAAAAAACAACCAGAAATAATGCTTTCATCATAATTCAGTATGTGACAACAGCTCCAAACAAAGAAACCAGTAGTTTTACAATAAACTAAACAAAAAAACCACCGCTCTATATATAACGAAACTAGAATAACAAAAAGAAACTAAAAAGTGATATTGAGTGGAAAAACAATGGATTTTTAAGTCGTAAAAAATCGTGTGATTGAATCGGGTTTTTTTCAAAAAGTGATAGTTAATATCAAAATGCTTACAATGTCTACGTTAATGATGCCAGCTGCCACCATGACTACGATGACTAACGCTGGACCTATCCCGGTCGCGGCTGCTACTAAACTTGAGCCCAAGTTGCTCCAACTGCCCCACCCTGCACTGGTGCCTCAGATGCCTCAACAACAGCCACAGCCCCACCATCACCAGCACCCACATAGCAACAATAAAGTTGGTGAGTAATTTTTTTTAAAACATATATTTAATTCTTGTTTTCGCAAGTTTTGTGACGTAACTTGCATGATAAATTTTTATGAACAACACTGGTATATATATACAGTACGTTAATTTAAACGAGGGACTTATGAAGGAGGGTATTCAGTATTCGATTCTCGTCTCAAAAATGTATAAAACTTATAACCTTAATATTTGACGGAATTGTCCCATAAAATACATTACTCATGAACACTGTAAAACTCACGCGGCAAGACACGTGCCAAATCACGCCAACACACGCAACAACACAAAAGAAAGCCAACAACCAAAAGTCATTGCCATCTCCCGCGGACATCGTCTCCTGATAACGTTATCGGTAGCGCAAGGGTGTGGTTCTGTCTGTTATTTATCAGTGTTTTTTTTGCTCATGTCTTTATTAGTATCATATAAGTATACACTATTAACTCGTCGAGTACCGGTTTTATAGACACAATTAAAGAACAATAGGTCGCGGTCACCGGTGACCGCTTGGTGTTTGACAGATTAAGGGTTTGAATATGTCCCTCGTTTAAATTAACACACTGTATATGTATAAGTATATGTGTTTACAGTGTTCCCTGAAGTCAACGATCAAAAATCGCCAGGTGATCGACAAGGTTCCAACAGTTATCGGTTGGTTTACTGGAGCCGACCAATCAGAGCGCCGAACGCACTCGATACTATTACGTTACGATTGCGATAGTTATTCGTGCTTGGTACTCGGAAAAATATTAAAAAAATCCAAGTCAGATAGTTTTTAAATTACAATAACTTGTGTTATCCACGAAAAAGTACATCCTGTGCCAGTCTTTCGACTCTTGTTGCTACAATTCTTTATTCTTTCATCTGTATTTTTGTTTACTTTATCCTGAATAGTGCTCCAGTATTTCAGAATCATAAATTCTGAGCCCAACTTTAGTTTGGTAAAGAATATAATGTTTTCAGTGTAAATGGTTTCAGTATTCATTCTATTGTAATTTAAAAAGTATACGACATGGAATTTTTTTAATATTTTTCTGATAACTTTTGGAACCTTTCCGATTACCTAGTGACATTATATCGTCGATTTCAGAGATACCCTATATATATGTGTTTAATTGTGATCTATTTAAGTAAGCCTAATTTTACCAAAATTAATTAATTTATTTATTTATTTAAACTTTAATGTACACAGAAACAAATAATGGTACATAAAGCAGATATTAATGCCATATGGCGTTCTCTCCCAGTCAACCTTAGGGTTAAATAGAAAATCGGCAAGAAAATAGGCATGTGTAATTATAAGAAACAAATAACATAAATAGACTTTATAAATATAGATACACTATGACTGCCTCGTTGGCCGAGTGGTCGCAAGTGCGACTGCCGGGCAAGGGGTCTCGGGTTCGATTCGGGTCGGGCAAAGTATTACTGGGTTTTAAAAAAAAACTCAGTAGTAGCACGGAGTCTGGAACCGGTACATGACAATAGGCTCACCCCCTATTACATGGGACTCATAACATAAATAATGAAAAGTTGGTAGTATATTGTACAGTGGCATAATGTGCACCTCTGCCTACCCCTTCGGGGATAAAAGGCGTGATGTTATGTTATGTTAAATATAGATACTAAAAATGTTTAAAATGCAACAATAATCTTATTTTTGAACGCTTTGACTGACAATAAAAATCTGTTGAAGGCAAATTCTCGGCTAACGTCAGTCAATGGCGACCTCCATGACGTTTAACGTGTTAAAAGTAATTAATTCTAAAAATTGTCACATGGCATAGCTATAATTATCTCTACCGGTTTCTTCTGAGAGAGTTCAAATTAAACCAAAAAAAAAAATATTTACTAAACCCGTGCAAAGCCGGGACGGGCCGCTAGTTGTATATTATAACAATGTGTTCTACTTGTTACCTAGTTATCATCGATAATCTCAATTAGTATAGTCCCATCTCTATCCGAAAATTAATCATGGGAGCGCTTCGAGGAACAAAACGGGAGCGCATAGATGGGAGCGCTTCAAAACGGGAGCGCTACGAGGAATACCTCAAAATCATAGAAGATAAAAATAATCTAAAAATTTACATAAAACGTACCTAAACTGCTTGCATCTAATCTTAAAATTAGTTTATCTTGGTCAAATTGGGCTTACAGTATTTAATAATGTGTCGTATTCTAGTGCAATGTAATTGTTGTCGTATTTAAAACCTGAACTATCCCACTGTTGGGCTAAACACCCATTCCTTTTCAGCATTCTTTAAAATCTACATCAAATAAAACTTGGAGTTATTTTTTCTACGAATCTAGCAACTTCCGCACAGTTTCACTCGCTCTGCTCGGCGTTTATTGATTGTAGCGTGATGTATCATAGCCTATGGCCATCCTCGATATATGGGCTATCCAACACAAAAGAGTTTTACAAATCGGACCTGTAATTTCTGAGATTAGCGCGTTCAAAGAAACAATCAAACAAACTGCAGCTTTATATGTATAATAGTACACAAAAACAAATACAAAAATTCCCCAGCTTTCTCAAACCCAAAACTAGAATAGGGTCAAAAAATCTAACATTAATCCATGTCGAGTCGAAATAAAAACAAATATACTACACCAGGCTCTCTGCCTACCCCAGAAAAGTAATGGGGGTGATAATACGGGCATATTATACTTAATGGACGGGACACGAGAGTTATAGTCTACTTAAGGACCTTTGCAGACGTGAGACTCTGAGACTTTAGTGAGCTGATTAGAGACTTTTGTTTGCTGATGTGAGACTGGTCGAAAATCAATTTGAGATTATGATTGTTTAGCAAGGATCGTTAGATTTTATTTTGGGGTCGTATAAAGTATCATTTGGTTGATTATATCTTAGTAATGGTTTAAAGCAATTCTTGATTAATTGGTAGGCCCAATTTCCCACTGACTTGCCGTTTGAATACTAGAGATAACCTGATGGTAAGCAATCGACATCCATGGACACCTGAGAAACTAGAGGCGAAACAAGTGCATTAACAGCCTTTTAGGGGTTAGGAATATTAGCATTTTTCGGGATTAGGGAGATTTGAGAGGGGGTAATTGGGCCTCCGGTAACCTCATTCACATGACGATACAGAACGCAAGTGTTGTTTTACGTCGGTTTTCTGTGAGGCCGTGCAGTTGTATGAGAACAATGTAACACTAAAATCCAGAATAGCATACAGATAGTATTATAACAGATCCAATATTTTGCTAAACGTTTGCGTATTGGAATGATTCAAAAAAGAAACTTCAGTATATTATTGTTTTCGGCTTACTCACGTAATTATTTGACGAGGAAATCGACTAGTTTCAAGCCATGCTAGAGGCTTATATTCATGAGCAGTATAATAAGAAAAGCAGCATAAAGAAATAAGCCGTCGTCGGAACTTTAACAGAGACTGTGGCTGGGCATTACCTGCCTGCCTGGAAGCCGGGTCTGAAATCTGCGTCAGAATACAGTGTTGCGGGTCTGGAGTGTGACACAGTGAGTGCGGTATGTAACACGGTTTTTGCGTCGACCCGGGATTCGAACCCAACACCAACGCAGCTGCCGGCGGGTAAGTCTAGCGTTCCAACAGGGTCACGCGCGCCGCCGTTGTCAATACCACGAATGGAGGAAAGTGGGCATGAAACACGGCAGAGGGCGCGCTGGGTCCGCAGACTCGAGTAGCCAGTAGCAGCGCGACGGTCGCCGAGTCGCGGGTTGCGAAATGCTGCTCATGAATATGAGCCTCTAGCATGGCTTGAAACTAGTCGAGTTCCTCGTCAAACCATTACGTGAGTAAGTCGAAAACATAATAATATATTTAGTATGTCTCACGAAAGTTCAAATTCAACAAGTTAGTATGTTAAACATGGTTATTCCATAAAATGACATTATGAAAGTTTTATGTCATTTTTTATGTGTCAACCATAGACATGAATGTTTAGCCATAAATCATATTAAATGCTCATAAATATGAGGACAACTGTATTAGACGATTTCATTGATTTTATTTTAGTCAGATTCGTGTGGTACTTTTATCATCCCCCTCTTCCCGTGGGTGTCGTATACCCGACTCAGGGACTATACATTAGAAAGAGACATAACAGCAGCGCTCTCTGATAAACCTGAACCTTGTATACTGAGATCTCCAACCCGCCTGCCTGCGGAGTTTATGATAAACCCTCTTATGTAGAGGAGACTCATAGTGCAGCAGTGGAATGTCACTCACTGTTGATGACGATGATGCTGTACTACTACTTTTGAGCTACGGCGTAGCTGACTACGGCGTAGTAGTCGATATTAATTTTTCATTATTTGAACAGATTAAGGTACTTACGTGTAGGTTTATTTATTTACTAGCGGACCCGACAGACGTTTTCCTGCATATCCACTTGAATGTATAAACAAAAATTAATTCAAATTAGTTCAGCTGTTTAGGATAACTAACCTAGACACTGACTGCAGCGCCATCTGCCGGGCTGATTTGTGAATCTAAACCATTCCCAGATCCCCTTGAACACACACAAAAATCGTTTCATTAAAATCGGTCCAGTCGTTTGAAAGAAGTTCAGTGACATACACACTCACAAAAGAATCCTTACTAATACTAATAATTATAAATCTGAAAGTGAGTTTGTTTGTTTGTTCCACCTTCACGCCGTAACTACTCAACCGATTGCTTTGAATTTTTGCAGACGTAAAGTTAGAAGTCCGGATTAAATAATAGGGTACTTTTTAACCGGGAAAAAATTGATATTCCTGAGGAAAAACAAAAGTATTGGTATAGATGGCGCTGTGTGTATTGGTATATGTCACATAGGCTACTTTTTATTCTTTTGTGACGCGAGCGAAGCCGCGGGTGATAAGGCGTGATACGTCCCTACCACGTGTGTGTGAACTATACTTACTTAAATTCCTTACACATTGAATGTGTCTGTTAAAATTTTAACACAACTGTGGCACGCAGCCACGCCCCAGTTCAGTCATTTATA